CCATCGGCTAATCTCTGTAGCCACCGTGCGTGTGCACGTCCCACACGCCTCCACCCACACAAGATTGCTCATTGCACTGAGCAAGCGGTGCCATTGCCACCAACACTCACCATCTTGCCTCGCGACAAGACGTCACATTCATTTGGCCCTCCTTCCACTGAGCCATTCATCAATGATGATAATGTTGAGATTTGCACTGGAGAAATCCGATGAGCTATAAAGCTATTTTCCCCCCCACATGTCCAGATTAAATCCCATTTGAGAGTCGTTTATCTCTCACAACGGATGCCTTGGGTAGCGAAAAAAAGGGAAGAATTTCGTTAGACCGTCAGAACAGTATTTCATTGTGGGGATGTGTCAGTAAATTTGAGCCCTAACAGTCAAGTGATGGATGAAGGCCTCCTCAAGGTTGCGTCGGTCGTGTGGGTTGTTTAACCAAACGTAACAATCATGGTGGCGTGCTTGGGTTGCTGGAGGGGTCGACCCAGACACGAGTTCAGAGGTCGCTCGCCGCTCATGTTTGCCGTATCCGGGAATCGAACTCTGGTGGCCACAGGCACCGGCCATGCAAGTGAGTCATTTTCACATTTGCGAGTTGGGGCTCACAATGCACACGATTGTGTTTTTTTTTAAACGATCAACTTTGCAGAAGGCAACATTATTCGTTGGGTTGTATGTAAAAAAATATATGTGGAAATATAAACCATGAAATGCTGCTGACGCACTCTCCTACTCACCAGCCATCCTGTTAACCATCATCTCTCCTCTTTGTTCTTCTCCTCGTATGCACCCATCGATCCTCTTACTGATTTTTCCACCAAATCTCTCGGGGGTGACACACTCATTGTCATTCAGCCACGGACACTCGCCAGCCACCATTTTACGCAAAGCCTAATCTCCCCATGGTATCCTCTCCATATGCGCTCTCGCTGACCTACGAACTCGCCCAGGTCACATTCGTCTTACACTCGTTCACCCCTGGTCACTCGGCCTTCCACTCACCAAACACCGGTCACTCACCGCCCCCCCCCTCTCCCCGACCCAATGACCTTTCCCCACCCTCCACTGAACCCAGGCAAGCAGCGGCTGCCACCACCACCGCTGGCCAAGGTCGAGCAGTCCATTGTGACGTACATATTTCCACCGCCATCGACTGATTTAAAAAAAAATGTACATGAATAAATAAAAGCTCCAGTCTAATGCAGCTCGGCTTTGGGTGCACCATTGTTTAAAAACCATACTGTAATGACCTCTTTCGTAAAAAAAAAAGCAATTATTTTGAATTTTGATTTAAAGCTTTCGTGAATGCAGGGATTCATATTCTTGGTTCTTTCGGTAAAGTCACGTAGAAGGGAAATAATAAAATAATATAAATATAAAACAATACAAATTCTCAGGACGTTTCGACTGCAACACAAGCAATCATCACACCTGATGATGATTGCTTGTGTTCCAGTCGTGATAATTTTTATTGTTTTATATTTATATTATTTTATTATTTCCCTTCTACGTGACTTTACCAAAAGAACCAAGAATAATTATTTTGAATGTTTAACGCGTGTGGATTTTTTTATTCTCCTGCGACACCTATCACCACTCTCCCCCCCCCCCATCCTTTTCTGAGAGTGCAAGGCAAGGAAGGTTGGGTGCGGGGCCTCCAAGGGGTTAACCACGCACTGCCTCTGCATCACCGCACTGCAGCAGTCACTGGAAAATGCCAGGCAGTTTGGGGCCTTCCCACTGGGGGGGCGTGGAGGTGGTGCACGTGATGTGGTTATTTGAATGCGAAAGTAGACTGCATCTTCTGGGTACAAGAAGCCCAAAGGCAAATAGACATTTCATTAGAAGTGGCTAATGCCCTGCCTCCCTCCATATTTAATCAGACACACCCCGTGTGTAACATTTCAGGTGGGTTTTAGAATGTTATGACGCAGCAGGCAATGTAGGATGATCCACTGGACGGGATTATATTTTCCTGCACTGTCCTCATTTGCCTGAGTCCAGCGGGGCAATGCTCAGCAGCTCGCAAAATACAATCCGATTGGATTTGATAGTTTGAAGCGGGCTACAGAAACCCCAAATGTATATTTGTCCTAACATTTGCACAGCCCACTGGTTAGTTAGAATTGCCTTGGAGTGTGTAAGAGTCGATTCTAATTAGGTTGTCTGGGATTAGCTTAAATATTACCTAGCAACATGAGAATATCCATGCAGCCCAACAGGAGGTTGGAGCTGTGGGATGTGATTATTTTCAAATTGCATTCCCCACAATATTAATGCAGTGTTAGGCATTCAAGTGGACATTTAATCTTCCAAATCACTCTTTCACGACGACTACTTGTTGCATTGTCAATGCGACTGCACCAAAAAGAATCCCACGCCCTGATGTTCTTTTCGCATGAGAAGAGCCGAGCACTCGCCCATGCATGTAAATCCAATATCTCATGCAGGCTATTAGAGCCCTTGGCTTGCATCGTTGTCACGTACGCAGTTTAGTTTTTCCCAAACTCAACGGTGTTTGTCCATGGGTGGGTGATGTCATTGCAGGGGGAAACGTCCAGGATTATTTTTCTTTTACATGCGCACAAACTGCTCGTTAATTGTTTCGAAACAGATTTTTTTTTCTAATGGACGAAATATTTCATGAAACTGTCGGCGGATGATCACTCATCCCGTGAACAGTGCAGTGCACGAGCAAAATGTGAGGCCTCAATGTAATTGAACATTTATTTATAGAAGCCACTGAGAGGTTTCTTGCTGGGCTGCCCGCTAAGGGATCAGGCAATGTGCGATATCTTATCGGCTATTGGCAATTCTCCTGTCGGCCCTCCTCGCCGCCAATCTACACTTGTTCGAGGGTGTTCCTGCTCCCCGGAGTGTTCATCGCCCACGCCACGACCTCCCTGGTGGTCACGAAACTCAAACCTTTTTTGCTATAAATACGACCACTGTTACTTGAGCCTGCCGGCTGCCCTTTAGCAGCAATGCAGCCTCTTGCTAAAACTAAATGTCAAGGTTCTCGACTATCGAAGCTTCCGCAGTGGGGGGGGGGGGGGCGCGTCAGATTTCAGGTTTTAAACCCGCGTGCCAAACTGTAAACCTTTTCCCGATGCTGGCTGACACCTATCTTATTACATGCGTCCATCATAGATCATAACAGTTGTTTTATTGTAGAAAATGCAGGAGCTGCATGGCGCGCGTGCTGTACTTGTGCAGAAGATTTCATAGGCGGTGGCTTTGAGCAAAACATTCTTTTTCACTATTTGCGGTTTCCGTCTATGCACAGCAAGCAGCAGCAGCAGCACCCTGAGTGAATTTTATTCCAAACCTGTTCTGCAGCCGCTGACAGTTTTGCCCCCCCCCCCCCTTAATCTTTGTCGAGAAACATTCAATGCCTCGCAGCCTCGTTTAACCTATTTTCATGCCAGTTTTAATGCGAGTGAAGTTAAAAACTGCCCCTTTTTAAATGCACACTATAACAGAACCTGACAACGTACTCGTTCGCGTGTTTTTCACCACTGTTTCTAGATTAGTAACATCTTTAATGAACAGGTGGGAGCTCAAATACATGGATGAACCATCACCGTTCATCTGTGTATGGACATTCGTTTTTTTTCTTCTTCCCGCTAGCATTGGCGCCTGCTGAGCCGTTGCTGTGAAGGACAAAAGCTTAACCTTGCCGCGCTTTACGCGATCTCATTGTCAAGTCACTGTTCCCGGATCGAGGCCAACCATTGAGTCGTCATTTCCCCCTCCTTCCATTAAAAAGCCATGAAAAATGCAGCGGTAGAAATGATTGCAGTGAGAGCCCGTGGCCTTGGGAGGGTGGTAAGTGCGTCGCTGCTTTACGTGCCCACCCCAGCATCATCGACTGCCCTGTTCCAGAAAGTGCGCACATTTGTGCCAGGGTTGTCCATCAGCGGTGCATTTTCGTGCCAGGAGGTGCCCTGTTCGGAATGCGGCACGGGTGCCGATGGTGCGGCACTTATTATTAGCTCCTACGCAGAGCCCTCTCTCCGATGAGGCTTTTTTTTGCTAAGGTGACTGCGACTAAAGAAAGGCACGCCCCGACTCCTGACCACTTGTGATCTCATGCAACGATTGTGCATGCGAATGCAACAGTCAGACTGGTTGCAATAATTACATGGCATTATATTATAACGTCATTTTTGAATTTATGCAGTATATGCAGTTATATAAGCAGAATAAATGTTAAAATCTCTGATATAAACACTCGTATTTGGTAATATTATTTCCCAAGTCCTTGTCTCATTATCTAATGCACGATGCAAACTACTGTTGAGTTTTTATTGCCGATTTACAATGTTATATTTATGTGTCCTTGTACAATATAATTTTTTTATTTCTTTCATTTTATATTTTGTTACATAAGTGGCACTACATGAATTCCCCTACTAATGTTTGTTGCATTCGTTTATACAACTGTATTCGTGCAATAACAGTTATATTCACGAATGCATTATATCTATTTTAAAAAGTCCACAATATGTAGTCCTTTCATTGCCTAATGCACATTGCAAAAAAAAAATATGCGCAGAGTCGTTCTGCCATGGAATCGCTGGCTGAATGTGGGTGCGTCATTGGGTTAAAGGGAAATTGACGTGAGCGTTGGAGGGGTCAAAGGGTCGGCGCTGGCTATAGCCAAGTAAGCCAAGCAGGATCGGTGTGGCACAGCAGTGGTGCGTGTGTGTGGTGGTGCGTGGAGCGACTTGATCGGTAGCGGGCCAAAGAGAAGGTGCCTCGGTCCAGGGAAGCCCACGTAAGGCCCTGGCTTGGACGGACACTGTGACCTTGAGAGGGGGTGGGTTTATGGCGGCCGACATGTTGGGTAGCGTCGTTTGCACGTCGCTGCGGTCTGGGTGGGGTGGTAGAGCTGGGAGGAGGAGGAGGGAGCCCGAGGGGTGGGGAAGGGATGGGGAGGATGCGGAGGAGGAGGAGGAAGGAGGGGGTAGGAGGGGGTAGGAGGGGGTAGGGAAATCGTGACGCCGCTTGCTAAACCCGCCCGGTTTTTTAATGACCCAGAAATACGTCTGCAGGCTTTTTTTATTGTCAAAGCGAGCCCCACCGGGTATAGAAGGACCCAGGGTCTGCTATTGTGGCAAAGCCTTTTGAATTCTCGTACAGGTGAGCCACGTGAAATGTGAGAATGTGTGAAATAATAGACTTCGTGGGAGGATTTGTTGGTCGGTGTGTTTAGTGTGTGTTTTATTGTGTGTGTTATTTTGTGTTAAATTTTTATGTTCCAGTTTCCGACGGTGATTTTTGCGCGACCGTGGCAGCTATTGGTCGCTATAAATATATTTTTGATATGCTGGGTTCTTATTCTCGATGCAAGCTTTAAAAACGCCCTTATTCTTGAAACGTCGTGAGAATTTGTATATTATTTTATTATTTCCCTTCTACGTGACTTTACCGAAAGAACCAAGAATATGAAGCCCTTGTTCTTATCGATGACATTTAACGAGAATGTTTTTAAATGTTGTACGTTCATATACAATAAGACCCTCGTTATAATAGGTGTTAAGAAAATAATTGGTGAAAAAAAATCCGGAAAAATAATTACGTTTGTACGTCTGTATCCGGTAATGTAAGACTCGTATAAGAGGAATGACAAACAGAAATTGAGAACGGTACGCTATCGTAATATATTTAGGCACGTTTTGCTCCGTCGCTAATATGTGATAGCATATGAAAGTCAGCGGCAAATCGTACAAGGTTATATACCGTGAATAAGCAACTGCGCAGTGATTCTAAACCTGTTTGCAGGCAGACAGCGAGCGGACAGCGCAGATTCGCAGTGACAAATCTTCCCAAGCCTGGCTTGAATGATTTTTTGCCATTAATGTGGCTGTGAATGCGACATCCTCTTTTAGATTCTAGATTTGAAGCTTTCGTGACTGCAAGGATTCATATTCTTAGGTTTTTTCGGTAAAGTCACGTAGGTAAAAAATTAAAATTAATAAAAAAAATGAAATAAAAATCACGACGTTTCGGAGGCAACACAAGCTTCCGTCTTCAGGTGGAACCGGCACAGCCACGACAGCTGTATCAAGTAACGCCGTGATTTTTATTTTATTTTACTTTTATTAATTTTAATGTTTTACCTACGTGACTTTACCGAAAAAACCTAAGAATATGCATCCTTTTTTTGAGTTTTTAAAATTCCTTGGTCTAAAGCTCTCGGCCGGTGTGCTAAAAGCGATGATTGCACATTGTTCTATTTGAAAGCAATCTTGAGCCCCGTTTTGCCTGGCCGAACGATTCTGACGAAACGCGCCGTCACACTGCAGCGGGTGCGGTGACGCACCACTCCGCTTCCTCTGCAGTCCTGACCCAGATGTCGTCATCGGGTGATAGAGATGTCCCTCGGGGTTTACTTGGGATGCAATAGATTAGAGCGAGGCTTGCTTGCTTCCTTGCTTGCCGCCGAATATGACCGCGAAAATGTATGCGTGCGCAAAGCGAAAATTGGGCTAATATTTATTTGACGCCGAACGTAACGGGCATCGCTCATCCGGCTCATCCATCCGTGGAAATTCCACATTCCCGTAATGGGGGTTAGCATCTTGCAAAGGACTAAGCCAAGTGTTTGCGGGTGGTAATTGTGATTTATAAGAGCAATGCCAATGCGCGTCATCCACCCATCCCGCCACCCAAACAGAGGCAATTTAAATGAAGTTGTTACGCAAACTGATGTGGCAATCTACTGTCCCTTCAGCACACCGGTGTGTTGAAGGGCAATCCGCAACACTTAACGATTGGTGTAATGACGTTTTGCCCATGGTTATAAACCAGCATCATCAGACGATTGTCGTCATTGTGAAACATCCCCCTCCTGTCTTAGGCCTTGAATAAGTGATGTGATACCATAAATTGCCTGCCCCCGCAAGAGAGCAGGGTGTAATGATGATGCCTTGAGGTTAATGTATGAAAATAAATTATGTTGGATTACTAATTACATTATGGTAGATATGTTGAAGGAGGGTAAACGATATATTGGCATTTTACTTGCACAATCTTGAACCAAACATCTTTTCTGGATTCTAACAATTTTGGTCGTGAAAAGCATACGTGTTTAAAAGAAACGATGGTACAAGAATCATTTTATTGACCCCCAAGATGGGTGCGAGTTGACAATTTCCAAATTCGACTCGAGATCTCGACCACAGCACATCCTGGATGGATGTGTTCGTGAACAGGAGTTCGTGGGTTCGATCCCGACCCTGACACCCGCTGTGTATTTGGAGTCTGCGTATTTCTCCTCGTGGTCGCGTGGATTTTTCTCTGGGTACTCCGGTTTTTCCCTCCACATTTAGAAACACGCGTTTGGAGTATTTGGCTGCTATAAATTTCCACGTGATAAGCCACTTCGTTGAGCTATCATTTGTGGCAAGGTCGCTTCTGAAAAAGAGATATAGTTCAGTGGGCCTTACCTGATACAATAAAATGAATTGTTTAGTTTAAATATCTTTTACTCAAGATTCCACGACACACGAATTTATCAATTAAACGTTACAATCAGGTGAGAGCTCATTGATTAAAAAAATATACACTTTTGAAAGGGGGAGCACCTGCAAAAATGAAATCTATGAGCCGCGATTGTCAGATGGGGTTCATTCATAATAGAGTTTTTTTTGGGTTAGATCGCGTACATATATAAATGTGTCGTTAAACCCGACACGGCCAACTAGTAAGATTTGTCACGTAATCAGAACGTGGCCAATCCGTCACGAGTACAGCACTAACCGGTGAGTTGGTGTATAGTGTAGAGTATCGTGTATAATGTAGTGTATAGTGTAGTATACTAGTACAGCACACCGGTGTGTTGGAGAGCCAAGCCACAACATTTACAATCTGAGCATGACGTTTCGCCAGTAATTACAACTAGCTTCATCAGGCGACAGCCAGAATCATTGTTGGTGCGCTGTAAAAAAAAATGGAAAAGTAGACTTTCACAGTGACAGGGTTCTAAAGTAACAGCTCCTTTTGGGAGGGGTCTAACAGTGGCAAACTGCTTCAGACTCTCAAGTTACACCTGGGTTTATTTTCTTTAACAGGAATGCACTGTACCGTTGCATGGTGACTCATTCATACATTATTTACGACCACAAACGTTTTGCATCCGCGATAGGGCAGGCACTGTGCCTTACGCAAATTTACAACGAGTCATTTGCTCACACTTCTGTGTTGAAAATTGGCGTAAGTTTTATTTCTTTAATTATCATAAGGATTTTCTTTTGAAATGTTAAGATCGGATGGGGATTTCATTTGTCCTGGGTTAGACTGACGTGGTTTTATACTTATATAAAACACGTTGTTCCAGTATTGGTGATAACTGTTTGTTAGATATACAGTATTGAGGAAAGGGGACCATTCTATTTTAGTGGGACACACGTGGACGATTGGAGGATGGTGAGTTTCCCAGACGGGCGTCGGAGTGGTGGTGCCCCAGAGTTATGGCAAAGACGTCGTAGGAGGCCGAACGCCAAGATGGTGGTGCTGATGAGAAGGCTGCCCGTGAAGAACGCGACACTGGCGTCATCTAGCGGCAAGATTAAGGGAGGCAATTACACTATGAGACCTCCTTTACCAGTGGCAAAATATAGTAGTAGGTTTTTGCCCTTTAAACTGGTACAGTTGTACGCCTTTTGGTGTCATCTGGTCCAAAACCAATGGAGACTAGGCTCTAAGGAAAGCTGTCTCGGGTGTGGAACAATCAACTTCAAGGACAGTGCATATTATTATCATTATCAGAGTTGTTTCTTTTTGTTTGCATTTTGACTGCTTGTGTTGTGGTTATTGCAAACATTGTGCCTTGTATAAAGGTGTCAGTTCTGTACCAGTTTAAAGGGTAAAACCCTTCTACTATAAGGGAGGCAATTTTGAGGTTTTCGTGTGATCCTAACCGGTGAACCCGTCTGTGTGTGTGTGCGTGCTCTCTCCGCAGATCACCCGTAACCAACAGCAAACATGTCTCCTCACTTCCCGGCACTCACCCCGGACCAGAAGAAGGAGCTGGCAGACATTGCCCAGCGCATTGTGGCTTCCGGCAAGGGCATCCTCGCCGCTGATGAGTCTGTCGGTAAGCGAAGTCGAGGGAGGGCTGTACGAAAACGATTGCTGGCGTCCAAAATTGTTTTTAATGATTTAATTGCAGGGGGGGGTCGGAAACCTGTAGCATGCCCGTGTATGGCTCGCGACTGGCTTCCTTACAAATGGCCCGTGGCCACATGATGCCTGCCGCTATGGAAAGGGCCCTCAAATGATAATTTGTCCGTCACTGTGACCATCTTAGTCCCTGAGCTAAGATGGTCTGACTTGGTCCCTGAGCTGCCTGTCGCCCACTTCTGAAATGACGGGCTTGAGCCTACCAGTGAAAGTCGTATCCTTTACCCAGGAAAGCCTCGAGGCGGTCCTGCGTTCAGATGGTGGGCCAATGCTGTTTACGGTTGACCTGTGGGAGACCACCTGACCTATGGTTGGTGGAGAAAGCCCACAAGTGGTAATACTCAAAACTCCACCCAGATAGGTCAAATAATCTATTGTTGTACTGCCATCTCCTTGCCATCTCACAGTCCAAGCCTAATTTTCATTGCTGGCTTTTATTCCCCACTCATGTGGTGGGATCTCCCTCGCTGGTTCTCTTGCTCTTTGCTCCTCCTCGTCCTGGGCCATCTCCATGTCTACTCCGCAATGTTCATTTCCCAACTCGCCACTTCGAATGACCTCTATCTCAGGCCTGCTTCTCTGTCTCTGGCCTGGTGCTTAGCCCAAGCCAACACAACAAATAGTATTCCCAGCCACTTTTTCATCTCAAGTAAAAGCCCTGCACAACTCCCGTTTGGTTTCTTGGATGGGGCGCATTCGGGATGTTGTGTATGTTGAACTTCTTTCGCACCATACATAGCCAACCGTGCTAATGGGAGGCGCGGGGGCAGGACAACAAACTAGACACAAAAAGCAGTGCAAAAGAAATGAGTTTGTAAATCTACATGATGATTTAAAAGTGCATCGCTCCGGTGGCTTCCTCATATCGGAAGTTACGAGCGTTCCAGACGGCTGCGGAAGCACGTCTGAAAGCGCCCGGGGATGATGTCTGGCTGACGAGCGATTAAACCCGTGCCTTCCCTCCCTCCCGCCCCCAAGGCACCATGGGAAAGCGGCTGACCCAGATTGGACTGGAGAACACCGACGAGCACCGCCGCTTCTACCGCCAGCTGCTCTTCACCACCGACCCCAGCATCAAGGAGCACATCGGGGGCATTATCTTCTTCCACGAGACGATGTACCAGAAGACGGACGGCGGCGTGCCCTTCGTCAAGCTCGTCAAGGACAATGGCATCCTCGTCGGCATCAAGGTGGGGCCCGTCTCTCCTTGCTGCCGCAGCACCACGTTGCTACGCAAACGCGGACAGTGCCACGCGATGCGAGATCTGAATCGGAGTGTTTAGTTATGACGGAGGAGGAATTCGATGAGATATAAAGCTCTTTATTCACAGATGTCCAGTAGGGGCGGGTAAGAACGTTACAACAACAAACAGTACATAGGCAGCGATAGCAGTGCAAAGTACAAGAAAGGTAAACAAATCCCCTAAACACAAACAAATTAAGCTAAACCATCCCCATCCTACCAGGCAAAGCCCAATGAGGTATTAACTTATTTTTCAGAAGCAACCTGGCAACAGATGACAACAACATGATGTGATCTCATGTAATACATCCTTAATATTTTTCACGAATATTTTCTGTTCATGCAACATAGTAGTGTAGCTTTTTAACAGCAAATTGGCACGCATAAGTCTGCATGAAAAAAAAATCATCAGTTTGCCTACGACAAATGACCGTATATTTTATTCTCGTTCACTCTACATGCAGGCACACATCGACATTTACCGGTTCTTGATGTTGAACCCCCCTCCATCCCCCTCCCACAACAGGTTGACAAGGGTGTGGTGCCGCTGGCTGGAACCAACGGAGAGGGAACCACACAGGGTGAGTGCTCCCCCCTCTGGGTTTACAAATCAAGCAAACCTCAACACTTGTCACTACGTAACGCTGTCGTATAACAGTAGCACAGAGAGCCGGTAACCTAAATCGCGCAGACTGTGCCCCGTAGCCTCAGAAGCTCGCCGGATAGAGCTTTGGATGGGCCACCGCCGCGCACGGAAACGCACGTTGCCATGAGATGCGGGTCTGGGGGTTAAAGTGAGCACAGGGGGCGGTACAGCGAAAAGCATTGTTCCAATGCGATACGTTCCCATGCCTGCGCTCCGTTGCCCTGCAACTAAACGACCGCGCCGATCGGCGCGGTGAAGCAGGGAGGGACTCGCCCGGAGCAGATCGACAAAGCGTTGTAGATGTGCAAAACGTTGAAAAAAACATTCAATCTGTTAACGTTGCAGACCGCGATTGCTTTGGGGAGACCTTAATGAATCGGTGGGTTGATGATGGCTGATGAGGATGATGATGATGGTGATGATGCACATTTAGGCGAGGCAGGCTGCTTGATAGAAGGTGCCGTTGCCGAAAAACGTGGATCCGCTTGACATTTTCCTATAATAAGGGCAGCGTTAACGATGATCGTTGGCGAGGGTGTGCTCGCTGCAGACTCTGTCGCCGCGTTGCCTCAGCCAGTCCGATGGCCACGTGCCCACACTTCCCCATTGTTTTCCTGCCCCCCCCCCCACTCTGGCAGTTACGTAAAACCTCTCGGCGGGGGGTGGGGGGCGTTATCCCATGCGAGGTATCTTAACGTGGCCGTGTTGCACTGCTCTCCTACATTATTTACCCCGAGCGAGCGGTGAACGTGGGGGGGTTGGGGATCACCAGGAGATGTCGGAGCTGCAAGTTTGGTTTTTTGAATCGGGTCTGTGTGTGCAGCATTGAATGAGGGGGGAGGTGGTTCCTCTTGCGTGTTGATTATCTCTGGTAACAGGTTTCCTCCCACATAAAACCAAAACGCACACGCGAGTGCACGACTGGCCAAGCGCGGGACCATTCTAAAAATGTTAAGACGTATTTTCTGGATAAACAGCATGATTATTATTAACCATTGTCGGTTCAAATCATTGCCTGTAATGATGGTGATGATGATGATGGGTGTAATCTGCTTCCATCTGTGATTTTTACATCTTCTACTGCTAATTTAAACTCGGGGTTGCAGACAAAACGTGAAAAGCGCGCGCCTCCTTGAAACGCACGCGCGCGGCAACTCATCTTCATGTTTCCACGTCGAAATGTCGCGGTGCCGGCCCGTCCGTTCACATGATGACACGCACGCACGCACACGTGGGGTTCTCTCGGCAGGTCTGGATGGCCTGGCGGAACGCTGCGCTCAGTACAAGAAGGACGGCGCCGACTTCGCCAAGTGGCGTTGCGTGCTGAAGATCTCCCCCAACACCCCCTCCAGGCTTTCCATCGTTGAGAACGCCAACGTGCTGGCCCGCTATGCCACCATCTGTCAGCAGGTGGGCGCCGATGGCTCGCCGTGGTGGTGGGGAGGGGGGCGCGATGTGGTTTTACGCCGGTTCTCTCCTTTGCCGCGCGCTCTGTCGCACCGAGGTGTTTTATTTCGTCGCGGTGGCTGGGCGCAGGCTCGAGCCGCACGCGAAGGGGCAAGCGGCGAAGACGCACGGGTGAAGGTGTAGCAGAGTAAGGGGTCGGTGCGTTTATCGAGGTAGAGTCCTCAAGATGGGCGGAGGAATCGATGGTTGAAGGTATTGGGAGGGAAAGTAAACAATAGCAGCACGAGAAGCGGCTGACTGCTGGTGAGCGATTGACTGGGGATTGAGTTTGGCCTGTGGCCGTGACTGTCACAAGTTCAATGAAACACTGCGCGGTCGAATTGCACCTGCGCCTGCCTGTTTGCAAGCGCGTGTGCGGGGACTGCATTTTCAAACAAGTGAGACTGTCCCAGACGTTCAAACCGGGTGTAGGAGAGTGGTGCACCTCCAATCGCTGGTAAAAAAAAAATCCATGTCCCTCTGATATTGAGGGCACCACCTCTTTAAACAAATTAAGTAGGGCTGCCAACAACGTTGTGGCAAATTTCCTTGACCCCTGTAGGGATGATAGGCCGAGTCGACCCCAAACAGGAATTCAAACTCACACGCTTCCCGACTGCCCCTGACCGAAGCATTGATGTAAATAAGCTGGTGTAAGAGCTACATATCCAGTGTACATGCTTCATACAGTTCTGTAGACGTGACAGCTGGCAATTTGAAAACGGTCTTGTAAACGCTATTTTTAATAGGACCCCCCCCCCCCCCCCCCCCATTGCACGCTGTAACCTAACCTTAGCCCATCTGGCTTGCGCCTTGGCCACGATTCTTTTTGGCGAGCTTCTTCTTGTGCGACAGCCCAAATGCTTCCACTGCCGAGTTTGCAGGTCTGGGGCCACGCTACGGCCGACTTTACGTGACACTGGGCAGACGCCAGGGGGGGTTGTCTGTGCTAAATATACTTAATTTTTTATGGTAGGGAGTTGATCAGCAGGGGGCATTTTCACGTCAAGTTGGTGAGTGCGCCGGTAGAGGTGGCTTCAGGGGTAGCCTCACGGTTAAAAAAAATCTGGAATTCTGCCAACGAATTGACAAAAGCTGGCAAGTGGCTTTACAACGATTTTACATGGGTTTAGAATTTATGAGTGCAGTCGCGCACTGCTGGTTATTAATAGTCCGTTGGCGTAGGCGGTACCCCGCATCTGGCTGTTTCGTGACCTGAAGGAGGCCTGCTGTAAGTGACCGAGCCATCGCTGCACCTCGGCCCAGCGCCCGACTCAGACAAATATCAGCGACGAATAACCCCGACCGTTTCTTGCTGCAGAACGGCCTGGTGCCCATCGTGGAGCCCGAGATCCTCCCCGACGGAGACCATGACCTGAAGACCTGCCAGTACATCACCGAGAAGGTAGGCCAACGCACACCCTCCCCGGTGATTCAATTGTAGGCGAGTAAGGTACGCACGTCGAGGTCGTTTTCCCACCTGGAAGACCGCCAACGCTTCCTCGCGGCGCCTGAACGGGTGTGTTTGTGCGCGCGCGCATCTCCTCTCTCCCGTCATCTCCGCAGGTGCTGGCCGCCACCTACAAGGCGCTGAGCGACCACCACGTGTACCTGGAGGGTACCCTGCTCAAGCCCAACATGGTGACCGCCGGCCACGCCTGCACCACCAAGTACACGCCCGAGCAGGTCGGCATGGCCACCCTGACCGCCCTGCGCCGCACCGTGCCGCCCGCCGTTCCCGGTAGGACTCGCCGATGCCCGGGCGCTCCTCTCTCTCGCGCACTCACGCACTCGCAGCACCCCCGCAGGCGTGCCCAAAGTGGGCACCGGGTGGGCGGCGTTGTTCGTGGACGGGATTCCCCACCGCGAAGGGTTGGGCCGGACCGTAGCGTCGCAGCTTTTGTGATGCTGATTGCTGGGACGACACTTGTCGCGTAATCCCGTGGGCAGCCAAATGAGCGTAGGAAAGTGCACGGACAATCGGTTGCTGGAAAAGCTCGACCTTACTGTGATAGGAACTAAAGTATTTTAGACACGTGCCAGTTGCGGTGGGGGGGGGGGGGGGGGGGAAACCCCAGAGAAAATTTCAAGTGTGTTAGGAAAGTGGAAGAAAAAGGAACGGGCGGACAGACCTAAGATGGGTAGAGAGAGCATTGTAAATTAAACTTGGGGGGACAGAATCCCAGTATTTCCTGTTCTACTTTAGTCCTCTGCTCAGTGGGAAAGGTGCTTGGCTCGAATTCTATCCATCCTGTCCGACCTTGAGCTTTCTTCTTCACCTCACTTTTCGTGGCCACTCCCCACCAGCCTCGGACTACTTAATCAAATCCACATCTATTTCCTTTTCTAGATTATTCCAATTCGACTTTTGTCCTCCTAAACTTTCCCCAAAAGGACCTCATTACCCTTTCCCTCCATCCCAACTGATTTTCCTCCATTTGATTCCAAAACCATCATCCCCAGACTTCCTTTATCAGAGTACAAGTTTATGCTGCATACAATGCCACGCTCCATACTTGAGGTCTTCAAAACTCTCTTCTACAACTTGCTGCTCACCACTGTTGTTAATGCAAAAAAAAACAGCATTGTGGCTCATATTTCCAGTTTGTACGGCGTATATTTCACCATGGTGATGCCCATTTCCTACCACGTGATGAGAGCTTCCCTGGGAACCGAGCCTGCGTAGTGATAAAAACATTAGCCAGCACGTGAGTCTGTGGCGTACGCTGTGGGATTTGTTTTGTTTATTTCAGAGTCTTTATTCCCTGTGTGTTCTGCTGCTACTCTGCCCCCCCCCCCCCCCCGCCCTTCACCCTGACACAGGCATCACCTTCCTGTCCGGAGGGCAGAGTGAGGAGGATGCCTCCATCCACCTGAACGCCATCAACAAGCTGCACCTGATCAAGCCGTGGGCCCTGACCTTCTCCTACGGCCGCGCCCTGCAGGCCTCCGTGCTCAAGGCCTGGGGTGGCAAGAAAGAGAACCTGAAGGCCGCCCAGGACGAGCTGATGCGTCGTGCCAAGGTGCGAGGCGATGGAGGAGACGCGGAAACGTAACCGTTAAACGGAGAGATGTCCTGGCCTCAGAGGTCGGGGTGCCAAGCCTGTTGGTGCTGCTGAGAGCCCGGGCTCGAATCTGCGTTTCGGATGCCGGTGATTGAACCGGATTCTCAAGTTGTAGCCAGCGAGTTAAAGGTCTCGACCTGGTCCTCAATGACCCAGCTTTTCAAATTAAAATGTAGGAATGACTGTCACGTGACTGGACATCACTCTAGTATGGCAGAGCAGATGGGAAAGTGCCTCTACCCTCAACCATGTGGTCCAGGTCATGGTTGAGATTTTACAAAAATTTGGGGGTGGGGGCGCGGAACATTGAAACACAAAGATGTCCTTTAACAGCGTAACGTTTCTAACCTGCCGTGCTTCATACCCTCCCCCCCACCAGATCAACGGGCAGGCTTCCAAGGGCGAGTACAAGCCCACTGGCACCGGCGCCGCTGCCGGCGAGTCTCTGTTCGTCGCCAACCACGCCTACTAGAGCGGCCACGTGGCCCACCCCGTCCGCCCCCTTTCCGCACACGACCGCGAGAACGGCGCCCACCTGCGGTTCCCGCATGACGCCGCCTGCTGTCGACGTTACCACCACCACCACCGCCACCACCTGCGGCCGGCTTGGCAGCAAACTGTTTAGCGTCTCAATTGTACTGGAGCTCTTAAAAAAAAAACACGCGACATTGGCATTCGATAAGCCAACCGTGTGTCCGATGGTTGAAATTGTATTGGCAAGGTATTGGCTTGTTCTGGTGTGTACTGGCTGATGTTTCAGGAACAACAACATCCGATGTTTTTTGAGTGGTACTTGAAAATATTGCGTTTCGAGATTGCAATACGTGTTCCAACGATCGAGAGTTCCGCCCGCAATTGAGCGCTGGCAGCACCCCCCTCCCCGTCTTCCTGTGCAGTCTGCTCTGGTGTTGCATCTCAACCCAGCCACCGTGTAGTCTCGTGTACCGTGGTCGTGTTGGTTGTGTGTTCGTGAGCTTGTACCAGCAGACATTACTGTAATCTATACAACTTGTAGCCAATATTGAGCAAGCAGATAAAGTAACCACCAAAAGAGTAACACTCCTGGTTCCCTGTATGCTGTTCAATAGGAATATTTGAAATGAGGTGGACCTGTCATTTCTCAACGTATACTATAGACTGCCTATCAGAAACAGTGGGCAAGAGAAATATCGCAAAGGTGATGATTATTGTGACTTTAGACTGCACCAGTGGACTATTATTTGTACGCATAGATAGATTGCTCTTCAGCTATTCCATCACGCGAACCTAACGGGTCTAGTTATTTCACGTTTGTGCATTATCCTACTCCCCAAAGTGAGCGTGTGTGTGCGTGCGCGTGAGCGTCTTTAACCTGTTGTTGTGTTGGGTGTTGCTGCTTATTATAGAGATTATTAACATCGAGGGTTCAACCCGTCTCCCCAGGCTTATGAATGTGGCAGGCGACTGCTGGTCATGTAATGTACAGTGTCTGTGCTGTGAAGAGGTGATGTGCACTGAGCATGAGCATACAATAAAAAAGGAGACTTAGATATTGAGGGTGGTGTGTTTTTATTGTCGTCGCGAGCGAAGGGCGAGGAAATCGTAACGTCGGGCGCAATTCCAGGCTTTCACGACCAATATTACATCAAGCGGAACGTCACGGAACTCGATTGTAAACGTTGTGGGCAACGCAACACCGGTGGGCTGAAGTGACTTTTTGGGACACGTTATGTTTACGTGACAAACCTTACTGGTCGGGTGGTGGTGGGTTAACGACACATCCTTGCGCGTTCTAACCCAAAAACAACCTTTATTATGAATTCCAGTCGCGTCTGCTCGTACGTGCACACATCCCCCGTTTGTCAATCCACTGCTGGATGAGGGGCCTCCCCATGCCATGATCTGGGATTTTAAAGGGTTCATCTTTGGGAACTGAATATCATGCCGATTATTCCTCCGGGAAAGCTGCACCAAGTCCCATGGCTTCAGGAGGGTCCTGCCTTGGGATGTTTGACCATTTCCATTCATGCGTGTGGGGGGCGGGGGGGAAAGAGGTTTCGGTACCTGGACGCAGGAGATCAATATTCCGAAGGCCACGTGCTGCGCAGTACTACCACCTCACCGGCCAGGTGTGCGACCGATTACAGGTGTGCGCCAACACTCTCGGCTCGTATATTCAACTCGTCTCCCTTCATCTTCACAAGCGTAGCGAGAACCACAGAATCTAAATTGGAGGTAGCTGGAGTGTTTAATCACGTCGCAGTATTGCAATATTCCGAACGAAAAAAACCGCTTGTCTTTTCCTATTGAAGACAATTGTGGTACTGTGCGCGCACACACGTGTATCAAATATGTAGGGCGTGTGTGTGTACAGTCCACATGTTCGTCCCTTCTCGACCGCCACTGCTTGTTGAAGGCCTCTCCACGCTGTGTAGGTCACGAGGGCCTCCCAATGGAAACTAAAATGTAAATATCGTCTCAGCATTTTCCATTTTAAGCGCCCAACCATTAGGGGCTATAGGCAAGCGGCAAACGTCTCACGTGGGAGTTGGGCTGGGGGTGACCTCGAACTGGCGAATCGTTCGCTTTGGTTGTTTAGTTTCCCAATGCACACGTTGTGTAACCGTGTAGGAGGTGCTGACCAAGCCTGTTCAACGTAACAGTACAAAGTGTCGGTACTTTGACCAAAGCTGCAATATGCTGTGTCTCTTTGCCAGATAAAAAAAAACATCAACATTTGGAGTGTCTGGACCCCCTGCCCAGAGGTTGATTAGTTTAACTCTGGACCGGATCAGCCTCAGAGTTCTAAATCGCGTTTAGTCTAGTGCTAACCATTTTAAAAATATGTAAAGTCTTAGAATAGGGTTTTCCACTTTTATCTGGCAACAAATCAGGTGTGAAGTTGTTAAAACACCAAACTGGCCCAGAAGAAGGCTGATCGGATGTGTAAACAAAAAAAAGGTGCAGTTTTTGTATTTTTGTTGTTGTTGGATGGACAGATATGGGAAGGAGGCGTTTTGTCTCATTGATATTGTTTACTTAAATGCTGTTTACTTGTATTGACCACAACGAGGCGAACATTTTCACCAACTCTGCGTGGCAAGGCCGAGCTGGACTATCACTGGGACCCACTTTTGTTTGCACGTCGTATCGGGGTTTCTTTTTTTTATTTAAAAAAAAACCCACAACACACGCACACGGCAAACAGCGAGACGCGCATGGCACACACCGCTTCCCGGAATGTGTGGGATGGGAGTCTCTCGGATTAATGTGCAACCACTGGTCCGATTCACAAGGCACACGGGGGTTTATCTGGGCGGGAGGTTCCTCTCTGCTGCTGCCGCTGCTGCTGCTTCTTCTTCTGATCGGTTCCTTTGGGAGCAGAGTGACTTACCTGGTGAGTCCCGCTGTGGAACAGCAACAGGGGTGAAAGTGTGTGAGTGTTGGTGAGTGGGTGAGTGTTAGAGTGTGTGTGAGTGTTGGTGAGTGGGTGAGTGTTTGTGTGTTAGAGAGTGTGTGAGTGTTGGTGTGAGTGGGTGGGTGTTAGAGAGTGTGTGAGTGTTGGTGAGTGGGTGAGTGTTAGTGTGATTGGGTGTTAGAAAGTGTGTGAGTGTTGGTGTGAGTGTTAGAGTGCGTCAGTGTTTGTGTGAGTGGGTGAGTTGTGAGAGATTGTTGGGGGTTGTGTGAGTTGGTGAGTGGGTAAGTGTTAGAGAGTGTGTGAGTGTTGGTGTGAGTGGGTGAGTGAGTGTTAGTGTGATTGAGTGTTAGAGAGTGTGTGAGTGTTGGTGTGAGTGGGTGAGTGTTAGTGTGATTGGGTGTTAGAAAGTGTGTGAGTGTTGGTGTGAGTGGGTGAGTGTTAGAGTGCGTCAGTGTTTGTGTGAGTGGGTGAGTTGTGAGAGATTGTTGGGGGTTGTGTGAGTTGGTGAGTGGGTAAGTGTTAGAGAGTGTGTGAGTGTTGGTGTGAGTGGGTGAGTGTTAGAGTGCGTCAGTGTTTGTGTGAGTGGGTGAGTTGTGAGAGATTGTTGGGGGTTGGTGTGAGTGTTGGTGAATGTTAGTGTGATTGGGTGTTAGAGAGTGTGTGAGTGTTGGTGAGTGGGTGAGTGTTAGAGAGTGTGTGAGTGTTGGTGTGAGTTGGTGAGTATTTTCGTTTAGTATATGAGTGTTGGTGTGGCTGTGTGGGGGTGTTCGTGGCGCGGTGGTGAGCACGCTGCGTTACGGACGGTGTGTAGTAAACATCGCCACTGGGGAGACAAAGGCGGCTGGGAGTGGTGCTGGCCACTGACCCCCATCGTGTGCCGTTCCAGCCTTCATAGGCGCTACTTGCTAACAGCACTTGCCCCTACAGTCTGTTCAGGCTATACGGGGGGTCTTTGTCTGTGTGTGAGGCTGTGTTTGTTAAGCTCAAGGACAAAATGTCACTATCCCGACTGAGTGAAAATGAAACGAGTCAATTGGTGGTAACTCCGCTGGCAGTGGCACACAAACACAACAACAACTTTTATTAATTTAAATTTTTTACCTACGTGACTTTACCGAAAAAACCTAAGAATAACAACAACAGCAGCAGCACTCAACGTCATCGTCAATAACAGTGGCGGCATTACAATGATATATTTATAATACAATTATATACTTATTATTGTAGTTATATACTCTTTGGGTCTTTCGGTAAAGTCATGTAGATATAATTTTATTATTATTATTAAACAATAAAATAACAAAAATTCTTGTTAAAATGAAAATAATAAAATAATATTTCCATAAATAATTAAATCATATTGTTTTTCTTCTATATACGTGACTTTACCGAAAGACCCAAATAGAATGAATTCCTGCAGTCACGCAAGCTTTAAGTCAAGATTGTAGTTATAAGTTTATCATTTTAAGGCAAAAGCCCTTCAGCATAGCAATGCAAATAAATGAGTGTTTCTTTTAAAGGCAGTGTTATTGAGGAATGTGTTGAGCTAATATTATTAAAACACACCAAGCCGTTTGCGTACGTAGCAGGTAGCGGACTCTGAAATATACATTTACTTAAAAAATAAAATAGTTTTTTTTTTATTAAATCGTCTCCATTGAATCTCTCGTCACGTGCTGCACTTGAAATCGTTCACGGGAATCCTTCCTCCCTTTGGTCCGAGCCACTCCGCTCCCTCTCGCCGATAAGATCACCAACACGGGTCGCAGGCAATGCCATGTGCCGGAAACATTTTGAAAACAACTTTGAGTGCGAATGTTGTCGAAGCGCACGTATTGGTTACGCGATATACCTTACACATGGGTAGCTGTGCACGTGCCAATTTAATGCTGGTCATCTGGAAAACATTTGAACATCTTAATTCTTCTCAGGGCCAGATGGACTGCATAGTTGCAGTCTTCCAAATCTTTATTTCGTCCCATCTCTCAGACCTCTCGACGTGCGATTGAAGATGGCCCATTGCCCGAAACGTCACCTATTATCATTATTTTAGTTTTTTAAGGCCACAGTGTCAATTGACGTTTCGTCATTCGTAATGGATTAATAACGGCGGATTAAGTATTTTTTTATTTGTTATCCACTGAATTGTTTGTTCCGAAGCAGAGTGGGTCTCGTACCATTCATTCCTCCTTCAACAAGGCGTGAAGACAGAGGCGGCCGGTGGAGTATTTGCGATGCGGTCGATGATTCTGAGTGGATTGTAAATGTTGTAGATTTGCTCTCCAACACACCGGTGTAGTGCTGGACGAGCAACGAATTGGCATGTTCTGTTTACGTGACAAACCCTGTTACTAGTTGGCTGTGTCGGGTGGTGGCGGGTTTAACGACACATTTGTATTTACGCGATCTAACCCCAAAAAAACCTATATTATGAATATTGTTCGCGAAAGCCTCCTACTACGTTTAACACGTAGGCTTTCGCGACCAATATTATTCATAATAAAGGTTTTTGAGTTAGATCGCCTAAGTAAAAATGTGTTGTAACCCTCCACCACCCGTCACAGCCAATTAGTAAGAGATTTGTAGCGTAAAACAAAACGCCAATTAGTGACGACTTCAGCCCACCGGTGTTAAACCGAGCGGAGCTCTCTCGCCACACGGCCGCCGTTGATGTACACTCTCATCACCCCCACCCCCCCAACGCTTCTTCCCCTCCGTAGCACTGCGGTGTGCACGGTCAAGAGGGAGCATGGCCAGTCGACCAGAAATCCTCCTTCTCCTCCTCGTCCTCGCCGTGGCAGCTGCGTCACCCTCGCTCGGCCAAACCATCTCCTGTCCGCCCGGGTGCACGTGCAGCCGCTCCAAGCATCTGGTGAGCTGCCACGGAGAGGCCCTCACCTCGCTGCCGGCCACGTTGCCGGACAACACCGACATGCTGGTCGTCAGGGGCTCGCTGCTCACGGGGGCGCTGACCTTTCCCTGCTGGTCGCACCCCCTCGACTACCTGGAGATCGCCGACAACCGGGCGGCCCTGCGGCTGGCCCGCGACTCGTTCGGTAACCTGCCCCACCTCGCCCTGCTCCACTTCTCCGGCAACCGGGTGGCGGCCGGCCTGCCCGCCGGACTGCTCGCGCCCCTTAAACGACTCCGCTGGGCGGACCTGTCCAACAACAGCCTGGCCGAGCTGCCCGGCTCGCTGTTCGCGGGCGCCTCCGCGCTCGGCTACCTGGACCTCTCCAACAACGCCGTCGCATCCCTGCCGCCGGGGATTTTTGAAGATCTCGGCAACCTCGACACGCTCCTCCTCTCCGGCAACAACCTCACCGCGCTGCCCGGCACGGTCTTCGGCTCGCTACGCCAGCTCGAAACGCTGGACCTGTCGTACAATCGTCTCGGGTCCATCAGCCGCGTGCACTTTGCCGCCTTGAGCGCCCTCAAGGACCTCCGTCTCAACGGCAACTTCATCCGGGCGATCGACGGTGCCGTGTTCCGGCCGCTGGCGAGCCTCGAGAGCCTGTCGCTGGCATTCAACGCGATCTCGTCGGTGCCAAGCCAGGCGTTCGACGGACTGAGGAACCTCACTCGACTGGACCTGGCTCACAACAACCTGAGCGCCGTGGCCCAAGGGCTGCTTTGCGGCGTGAAGAACCTCGAGTGGCTTTACCTGGCCAACAACTCCATCCAGGAAATCACGGCCGACATATTCGTGGAGAACGCGAAGCTCAAAGGTCAACATCGATGCGCGCGTGCATGAAGGTCACATCACGTTCTGCTGTGTTCGTGCTGCCCATTGAAAATATGACATTCTAAAAGAAAGGAAACACTTTTGGCAGGGGAGGGTAGTGGGGATAGGTGAGGGGGCTTTCTGGAGCTCCGTCTATTGGAGGCTTACTCTTTGGTTCTTTCGGTAAAGTCACGTAGGTATAAAATAAAATAAATTAAATCACGACGTTTCGGGCGCAAAACAAGCGTCCATCATCAGGTGGGACAACCACAGCAAGAAACAATTGCTCAAAGTGGGCAAAAGGGCTGCCGTGACAAGAGGCGATGTAGGTTAGAGAGGGGAGAGGAGCAAGTGAGGAGAGATAGAAAAAACTTCAAATCTAGATTTTAGTGGAGGCTTATTCCACCAGCAGTGGTCTGAGCAATGCATTGCAGGGCTGAACCTCTACCCTTGACTACTACTGCAGTATTATTAGCTTTACAAGACAGCTTGGGGGGGGGGAGGGGCTGTGCACACAAAGACAAAGATCCCCCCTATGGCCTTAAAATACTGTTGGGGCAAGTGCTATTAGCGAGCACGGAACGCCACACGAACGGGTGGGTGGTCTGCACCACGCCTGTCCGCCTTTGTCTCCCCAGTGGCGATGTTTACTACACACCGCACCAGGTACTCATTTGGGGCCGAGTCGACCTAGGGGAGGCCCAGGAGCGGTTCAGATATAATCGTTACCAGTGATGGCCGTGAGCGGGAATCGAACTCGGGCCACTGGGTTCCTAACGTAGCGCGCTAACCACTGCACCACCGCTCCCCCACACACGCGCACACACAAAGATCCCCCGTGTAGCCTCAACAGACTGTAGGGGCAAGTGCTGTAAGCGAGCACCTATAAAGGCCGGAACGCCACACGAGGGGGTGATTGGCCAGCACAACCTCCGACCGCCTTTGTCTCCGCAGTGGCAATGTTTACACACCGCACCAGGTACTCATTTGAGGCCGAGTCGACCTAGGGGAGGCCCAGGACCGTTTCAGACAATCGTCACCGGTGTTGATCGTGAGCGGGAATCGAACTCGGGTCACGAGGATCACAGTGCAGCGTAGAGCTAACCACTACACCACCGCTCCCCCCACACAAGACAAAGACACACACACGCACACGCGTATCACACGCAGGCCACCACCATTCACGCCGAGGCGAATTGCCCCGTGTGTCTGGGCTCTTTCAGGGGTGCGCTTGGAGGGGAACGCTCTGCAGAGGTTGCCCGAGCAGCTGCTGCAGGGTCTCGCCTCCCTGGAGGAGCTCTACCTGAACGGCAACCGCATCTCCGAGCTCCCCGACGGACTCCTGGCCGTGAACGAGATGGGTGTCAAGGTGCCCGTCTTTCTTGACTTGTCGCACAACGAGCTGAGCGCCGTGCCCCAGGGGATCACGCGAGCCCTCGTCGAGCGGATGTTCATCCTCATCCTGCACGACAATCCGCTGTGCGGCGCCCCGGTGCAGGGCTCGGGCAAGGACCACGTGAAGAAGGCGTGCAAGCTCGGCACGAGCGGAGGCACGGCGAGACCGTGATGGTTGTGGTTGGAGGTGGTCCCGTGGGGTCAGATGGTCGGTGGGCCGAGATGACACCACGGGAGACACCTGGGTTCGAGTCCAGGCTGTTTGGCGTGTGATTCGTAGAGAAAACGGGGGGAGTGTTTCAAGGGTGGTGATTCTTCTTTGGTTCTTTCGGTTAAGTCACGTTTAAAGATAAAATAATAAATTAAAATAATAGCATATTATGACGTTTCGATTGCAACACAAGCAATCATCATCAGGTATAAAAGAAATAGCAACAAAAATCTAACTAGAAAACTATAAACAGACATACAAGCAGACAGACATCACAAGGACACACAGAGAGAGGGCACATATCGGTGAGTTAAGAACGGTCACATCTTGGTGACCCTAATGAATACAACACGAACACGCACGCTATGATGTTTACGGGACTGCTTTGTTAATCGTTGAACGAAAGGGGCCGTCCATAAATGACGTCACGCACCTAGTGGGGGGGTTGGGGGTCAGACATTTGTGACGATGTGTGACGAGGGGGGGTTTGAGAAATGTGACGTCACATCAAAATGCGCAACTTTAAATAAATGTAGACAACACGTTCTACTTAATTAAATAGACTTTTTAATAAATGTTTTCTCCTACAACATCAGAGTGCAGCGCCACATTAAATACGCACTACAATGACAATAGTTTAAAGCGATTTTAAGCATGTTTTATTTTGGGGAGGGGGGGGCAGAGCTTTGTGACGTCATATTTGAGGGGGGGGCAGAGCTTTGTGACGCCGTGTGACGAGGTGGGGGGGGGGGGGTCAAAATTCGTCCAAAATCGCGTGACGTCATTTATGGACGACCCCAAAGTTAAAAATTTTTGTATCTCCTTCTCGTGACACGGTGCCGAGAGAGCGAGAGACCCGCGGCTCCTCGAAACGTTCGGTGCAAATGTGAAAGTTAAAAATGGCACGGCAGCGTTTTAGGCCGTGGCCGTGGCCGAGGCGATGGCGTTTCCAGCACCTTCGGTGAGCGCGGTCGGCCACGTGCGGTGCGCGAAAGACGCCCGGCACTTGCCCGTGGGTCGTCGTCGTCCTCGTCGTTGTTTCACTTGACACGAGCCCTGTTGGCGCACGTGGCATGTCGGCGTTGTTCGGTTGCTCCAGAAGCGGATGCAAGTTGCGCCCTCTCGTGGCTGCAGTGAAGACGACAGACCGGGGGGGTTCAAGTAGAGGTCGTAACCGGGTACCCGATACCCGTACCCTACCCGATACCCGGCTACCCGTACCCGACCCTGGTGCGGCCAGGTACGGGTAGACCGTGAGTCACTGGTGAGTCACCGTTTGTCACTCATTTCCCAACGTATTGTCTCTTCTCACAATTCAAGTTCCTAAAATCAACCCACCCACGCCTGCAACATGGCTTCATCCCAGAGGTCGCAATCGGGTACCCGATACCCGTTTCATAAAAATCACAGCACACGACAAAAAGTGTGGCCATTGTACATGTATATTTCCATCCCTTCTGTTAATCGACTGTTGGATAACGGTTTGCCTCACCCCACGGTAGTTTGCCGAGGTAATTTTACGATTTTAAAATCACACTGCGCCCCACACAGCAGCAGATTAACGCAAGCGCTGTAACGTGTTACAGGGGTATAAACCAACGCCGACATATTTTGCAATTCAGGAACGTTTATTGTGAAGGTTTCCAAAAAAATAAAAAATATTACTCATTCGCACCGATTACAGGAATGCGAGAGCCACCGGGAGGAACGAGTCCACGTCACGGAATTAAATTCTCCACTTTAGCAACAAAACCAAAAGCCTTGCAAAGTACATTACATTGCAACAAAATAAATAAACTCAATACCTAGGCCAGCTAGTCATTCCCTTTTCCTAGCTAAATCAGAGGCGGAGTAAAAAAAAGAGAAATACATCTTGAAAAAATACACGGGACTACAAGTCTCTTGGTGGGTTTTACCATCGATCGGCGGTGCCGTGGGCACAAAACGTTGAAAACAGAAATTAAAAATGTCCTCGGAGAAGCAAGAGAGGTGGGGGTATGATTAGGGTGCTGGGCCTGTGCTGGGTGGATAATAAGGTTAGTATTAGGGTCTAGTTGGCTCGTTTGGGAGGTCAGGGGTAGGGGTAGGGTTAGTGTTTGGTTAGCTACTGCGGGTGTGGGTTAGGGTCTGGTTGGCAAATGCAGTTCGGCGTAGGGGCCAATGGCTGCTTGGATAGTATTGTGGTTATAGGTAATGCGAGTGGTTGACCAAGATGGTCAAGCTAACGGTTAGGATTTGTGTCTTATTGACGACTATATTCGTGTCTGTGCGTCCGTGCTGGCACGCGATCATGACAAGTTCTGCCCTTTGCATTTGCTTTGATCACAGCGATCGGGGAAAGCCCAGCGAGCCAGTGGTGGAAATTCCAGACAACTATGCCACGAGTGAGCCTATCCCATTAGACGACCGTCGTTGACTTGCACATAAAGTAGTACTCATTCATTCGACCCAGGAGAGACGATAAGACCGAATCGACAACCCGACCAGGATTTGAACTCCCGCTTTCTTCCGACTGCGAGCCGCTCGCTCCAACGCCGAACCACCAGGACCAGATCGCCACGAGGCTACAGAGAGGAAACCGCTCAACGCGCGGCCCAACCTCGACGCGCCCCCTCGGCGCTTGCCGTACCGGGGGCCGCGTAGAGACCTGCGGGGCACCTCAAATCGATGAAAGTCCCTTCTCTCCGCCGGTGAAACCGGCCAGAGCCCTCGCCGATTGAAACCGTCGGGTGTAGGAGAGGGGACGCGCAAAGTTAGCGAGACACGTGCGCCAGCGAGCGCTCGTCTTGCTCATCGGTCGAGCGGCACGAGTGACCGCACGCCCTGCCGCCCCCCCCCCCCATCGCCGCGCTCGCTCACGCCCCGGTCGCGCGACGCCGTCTCCGCGCTGCCGCGGCAGCGCGGCGCCAGCGCGGCGCTCAAAGGGGACGCGGCGCCGTAGCTCGAGTTCGCCGGGGAGGACGAGGGGAGGGAAGAGGAGGAGGACGAGGACGAGGAGGAACGTCTTCCGGGGGCGTCCAACTCCGTCTCCGCACTGGAGCTGGACAACAAGCTGGGCCGGCGATCGCCGCGTCGAACACGGGAGACTCCGGGAGCCATGAACATGTAGACGCTGGGCAGCGGGAGGAGGGCCGCCGTTGGGCGACGCGCGAGCGTGTCGTACGCGTCGCACGGCCTCATTCGCCGGGCGCTGCGGCGCGCCACAGCGACGTCGCCCCACGCCGTTTCCGCCGTGCCCTCTGCGTCGCTCATTCGCCCGTCAGAGAAACTGCCTGCCGCGCACCGCTGGCAAAACGCGGCCTGGTGGCGGCTCGCGTCCGCCTGCCGCATCAACATGTACTGGCCCTGGCGGGCGAAGGGCGGCGATGGAGGGTGGCCGGCTTCGTCGGTCGTCGTGGCGGCGCTGCCCCCCCGTGGTTCCCCGCGGGGCGTCACGGTGGTGCGGCGATGGCTCCAATATTGTCGAACGGCGGTCGCGCCGGCTCTCCAAAAACTTGGCGGCGCCGTCAGGGAGCAATGCCCGCCCCGGACCGGTTCCGCAGCCACCTCCGCCATGCTCACGGTATTCACCGAGAAATAGGCGGAAGAGGCTTTGGCGGCTCGTCCCGCTCGCTCTGCCGACGCCTTGCTGCCGACGCGCGCCCGAGACGGCGGCGGTGATTTGTCGCTGGGGCCTTGCTCGCTGTTGAGGAACCGCTTCCGGAAGAAGGCCGTGCTGGAGGGACGGCCTTCACTCGCGGAGTCATAAGCGAGGTAGCCGGACTGAGGAACAGAGGGAGCCGCGGACTCGCACGGCGAGAAGGGAGCGCAGGGAGAGGGGCCGGCTCCGCTGCCGACGCAGAGTGCGGCCACCAAGTCCACTTCCACGCACGGACAGTCCGCTCGTCCGTCTACACACGGGGCACAACGAAAAATTGTTTGTGGAATTAGCAGCGTTTGTTTGGTGACAAACAAAACATATTCACTTCACGTGCACCTTTTCGTAGATAATCTTGTAGTTTATGATTTTTGGGTTAGGCCACGTAAAGATACGGGCCAATTCGTGTCGTCAAAGACACTGCACCACACGACACAACCAAACTATATTGTCAAGTGATGTATAAGCATTTAACGTTGTGCAAATTATTATCGCTTCAGGTCCCCCCCGGGCGAGTCGAAGAACGATCTTCGCAACCAAGTTTAGCAATTAGATGTGGGCGATTCGTTCGAAACTACGTCAAAAATATCATCAGGACAAGATACAGGAAGTCAAAAGAGACACGTCACCTGACCTGGCTTCATATTAGACGCTCTTGATCTTGGGAGCTCTACATAAACCACACTGACCGGCGTGATAAAGTTAAGAGCAGCGACTTTTTTCTTTCAGAAAGCCTAAGGAGGCAATGAGGGGCGGCATCACTGCACCAGCTTCCACAGCGTGTGTTCAATTACCGCGAGTTTTGTAAAATAATAAAAGTCCGGAAGAATAATTGAAATCGGAAAAGTCCATCCAGCGATTGTTCTCGTAAAATTAAAACTGCCGAGTGGCACTGTGGTCAATTGGAAGTTTGCGAGTTCAAATCCTAGACGGGGGTGGGGGGGGGAAGGCAGATCTACTTGGGTCTGTCATCATCAATTGCGGTTCATAAACTGAGTTCGACTTCGTGGAAAGTAGTTCTAGTTATGAGGAGGCCTCTGATCATAATAATGTGGAAATGTAACCACTGTTTTAGGACAACAGATATCAGTTGATAATATTAATAAAATGTGCCCTTTACCCAGAAAATCTCTAGTCGTGCGAATATATTAAAACTAATTTCGATTTAAAGCTTTCGTGACTGCAGGGATTCATCTTCTTGGTTCTTTCGGTAAAGTCACGTAGAAGGGAAATAATAAAATAATAAAAATAAAACAGAATAAAATAATTCTCACGACGTTTCGGCCACAACGCCGGACGGCTGCTTGCGTTGTGGCCGAAACGTCGTGAGAATTATTTTATTGTTTTATTTGTATTATTTGTATTATTTTATTATTTCCCTTCTACGTGACTTTACCAAAAGAACCAAGAAGATATATTAAAACAACTGTACGAATCTATTTTTGGTAGAGTAATCGGAAAATACACTACAGGATGAGGGCCTCTCCACACCGTGTCAGCAATGAGGGTCGTTCAACCATACTTCACCACACCGGTCAGCGGCGGGGCTAGGGTCAGCGCTACCGCCACCCGCGCGGTAGCTCGGGCGGGCAAGCGACGGTTACGCGCCAGGCAGCTCTTGCGGCGCACGCTGCGGCAGGGCGTGCCCGCCGAGCTCGCAGCTGTCGAGACGTCTCCGCGCCGTCGACGCCGACGAGCAGAGCTTGGGCCGCGGGGGCTGCGGCCGGCTCCACATCCGGCACAGCGACAGCTCCTCCACGGCCAGCAGGAGGTTGTGATGGATCGCCGTCGCCATGGTATCATCCTCCACCTGCATCTCGCAGCACCAACACGACGGCAACACGATGGCAACAACGGGGGCGACGGAGACTTAGCATTTTGATTTAAAGCTTTCGTGACCGCAGGGATTCATATTCTTGGTTCTTGCTGTGGATTTCACACCTTGCAGTCGAAACGTCGTGAGAATTTTTATTTTTTATATTTATATTATTTTATAATTTCCCTTCTACGCGAATTTACCGAA